AGCCTGCATAACAGTATACAATTTCAAAGACAAAATACACGATGACAATAATATACCCAATGACCTGAAGGATCATGTGTGTTCATTCAAAGAAAGGTTTTCCTATTAATTAATTAGCAAAGAAAAGTCCTTCCCTTGTGGATTTTCCCTATGGGCAAGGAAGCGATTTTCTTCACCTAAATTCCAGGAGGTCGTAAATGTATCGGGTGTCAGGGTTACCATGGAACCAGGGGCCTGTTTGGCTTCCTGGGGTGTTACAGAGTATTTGTTAAATCTAGCTAACAAAATATATATTGTGTGTTTGAGTGGTCCAGACGCTACATCAAATTCTTTTTATTTTTATAAAGACCTGGCTTCTCACTGTAAGTGAGTGAGTGAGATACTTCACACTTTATGTGATGCCATGATAATTATTCACTCTCACCTCTAAATTGAAAGGAAAGTGCTCTGTCAAACTAGACAACAGCTCTTAAAATAATTGAATGCATACTGATCCGTGTTAAACAATTATGAGGGAAAACAAACAAAAATGTTTAAGTCTTTAACATCTAATATTTCTTCTTTTTTTTTTTACTATTGCTGTATGGAATTTAGTTAATAATAATAATAATAACTGCCAACATAACCTCATAAAAATCTTTAAAAAATCAATATATTTTGGATTTGGTAAGAAATATATTTACATGGCATGTTCAACTCATATAATTGTATGATTTGGTTTAATTCATATGTAAATAAGTGACCAAGACATTGCCTACTTACCTGACATATAACTAAGATATCACACTTTTAATAGTAAGAGGGACAGAGACAGAGAGGTAAAAAAACCACACATTTTTATGATACAATATGTAGGGAATAATAATCTTGTTTATAGTCTGCAGTGACATGATATCTGCCTCAGGGGAACGGAGCTACATCAATTTTTCATAAACTGAGGAAAACTGCACATGACTCCCTCCAAGAGCTGCCAAAACTGAAATAACAGCTTTTGAAAATCTCTCTCTCTCTTTCTTCTGCAGACACTGGACGACCTTTATGATCTTTTTCACATACGTTTGGTGAGATGCTAATGAAGCTAATCTTTTTGCATGGCAAAATTATCTACAGTAGTATCAAACTTCATAAAAAAATGTCTTGATGTACTGTCATGATGCTTTGACAGACCAAAATGTCTGCATGTAAAATTCTCTTCAAAAGTGACATGTCTGATTTACGCTGATTTCATATTTCATCATAATTCAAAATAAATAAAAAGAAGAAAATAATTTTTCCTATTAGCACCTGACAAAATCAGTCTAGTAAATCTAGCTTTGATTGTTTTTACAGCATTGATACATACCTAAACACTGAGAGGCTAAGGCCAGTACTTACCCCAGGGGTTAAACAGCCGTGACCTTCTGCAGTGGTATGCGATTTTTTGCTCACAGTGTTCTGACAGAGACACCAGGGCCTTCAGCTGTTCAGATGAGGCGCTATAATTAAACCATCCGACATATGGCTTCTGCGGTGTAGAGCCTCGTACTCTGACTGCATTCGAGCTGTTGTGACGAACCTCTGTCCACACTTTGTTCCCTGAAACATTTGATACTCAGCATTATTCCAACATTCCAGGACAAGTAAAAGGCACAAAACAAGTGAGTGTCTTTTTACCATTTAAGAAATGGGAGATAGAATGTCTTTCCAACAAATGTAGGATTATAAATAATAAAATAAAATAAAATGAAATAAACAAGGAGTTACATACCAAAACATAAATTTTCATTGAGCAAGAAAATTAGATGACAGTGCCGTGCCCTGGCCTGCCCCAGAGAATGCTGCCATCCAAGGTGACTGTCTATCTTATCTATGCAAAGATGTATTTATTTTATAATCAGCTTTTGAAATGAACTTTTTCCCCCTAATAAATTAAGTTACTGGCCATTCAGAACTTCTACTACCCAAAACAAAAATAACAGAAATGAACCAGATTCACTGCTTATTCAAAATCACGCTTTAGATTTAAATATATTTATTATTAAATCGGATACTAATCATTAAATGGCTTTCAGTTTTACAACAGTCAATCATTCTTTGTGGAAACCATAAAAATAAAATAGAAATAAAAACAAAATTACTGCATGGTGACTTCTCTTATAAAACCATGTTTGTTGTAATTCCCAAATATAGCTCACTCCAAAATTAATGTTTAATGGCAAACACATTGAAGATTAGCAGACAGGCTGTCAATTGATAAAGGGATCAGCTGTTTCCCCACAAAAGTCAGCGTACTGAATTCAGCATATTGAAGTCTATCCTCCACTGACTGATATGCATCCAAATCGGACACGGGAGGATGCGTCAATCTGTACTCGCATTCTCAAGTTCAAGGCGGCAGTCAAAAACAGTGAATCTAATCACTAGTATGCAGGCAAAAGTTCAATTCAAGAATGAACAAAGTGGTATCACTGAGTCTGAAAACAGTGCAAATGGAAAAAGAAAAAGCGATCTATATATTACTATATGAAGCATTCACTTTATTCAAGCTACAATAATGAAAAAAAATATATATACAAAATCTTCCAGCTTAGGGTGAAGTCAGTACCTTCAAATATTTGTCCCAAATTGTTGTTAATGTAATTTATTTTAAAACTATGTAAATGGCGTAGCAGGATTTTGAACAGCCCCTGAAGTCATATATAGCTGGGCATCTCCGACAGATGCTGAGTGATGCAGTGTATGTACATTCATAGAAAACAATGTATTTGCATTTTAAAAATGTAATGCTTATCGTCCAGTGTGTGATCCTCCTTACACATTGTTTAGTTAATGTTGGAGGCTCCTGATTGGAGGGCATAATCTATGAATCATGACCCGCCAAATTGGCTAGTAAATTGATGTGTTACCTATTCGGAAGGTGTTAATTTCAGACCCTGTTAATAATGACTTTTAAACTGAGTAAAACACACGAGAAAGATATATCAGTTTGGTCAAATCTAGCATTTGAGCTGGGGGTAGAAAGAAATAACTGACCTGTAATATTACAGTAGACCTGAATAGGATCAAGAGGGCCACTTCCATCAGGATCTATAGAGAAATATCCAGAAGTGCTTCCTGCAAGCCTGTAGTGTTCACATGACGCTTCATAGACGGCTAAAAAATACAAACAGGGAATACAAGATTTCATCAAAGCACCTGAAACATTTCACAAAGATCAAGGCTACTGTTTAGATCTTCTGTACGAAACAGTGCTGTCTAGATGTCTGTACTTTTAACAAACATTATGTAAAGATGATTCCTGTTAAAAACACATTGAGCAAAAAACACAGATCTGTATTTCATAATACATACAATGTATGTCATGTTAGTTTTTGTATTGTGTGCGTGTTTTCAGAGCGTAAACTCCGTAAATTCTCCGTAAATGAAAAACTTCGTAAATTCAAAAAACCCTAAGGGAACTTAGACAGTGAAATAATGTAAATTACTATTTAGTTTAAAAAGTCTAAAACTTAGGTGCTGCAAATATAACCTTCCCTTGTGTGTACGCCTGACATAATAAATATACAGAAAGTGTGTTTGAAATGTAGGAATCCATTGCGCAGACCTACAGTTATGGCATGTAGCTCCACTGTATCCTGTACCAGTGCAATCACAGGAGAAAGAAGACCATGTCTGGGAACACCGGCTGCCATGCTCACAAAAATTATACAGACACCTGTCACATAAAAAGAGATACACAAACATTTAGTTCAAATATACAGTAAAAAAAATTTGAACAATTTAATTGTGACCAAGAATTACAAAGTAATTTGAAACAGAATATAAGCAGTCAGCATCAGGCTTATTTTGAATTAAAGTCCTCAGATGACAGAGAACCGACAACATGTCCATCTCAAGTCAAAATCAATTTTCGGAGACTGAACGAGTATATCAGCATACAATTAAGTTGTCTGTTGCTGGCATTGAAATAGACCGTAATGTGGCTGTAATAAAACAGTCTGTTAAATCAAGAGAATCGTTGGGCTTTTGACAGAATATTTTATATCAAGTGCAGCTGGATCTAATTTAGAAATGGTCAAATGAATATGTGAATTTGTGTGAGAGGAATATCAGAGACAGGGTTGATGTGACTGTCAATTGCCTGCAGAAAATTAATTTTCTTTTCAAGAATTAAAAAAAAAAAAAGCCATGATGGTTCATGATCTGTAACAAAGGGAACCTTTTTACAAATGAAAGAACAAAATAATCTAAAGCTAAAAGCTTACGCAATAGAGGCATTTAGTGTAGTACTGGATAACAAGAAATGTAATCTTAACCCTGTATAGAATACTGAAGAAATAATGTACATGAATATTAATATACAAAACGTTTAGGATTTAGGATGATTCAGCAAATTTCAGCTCATTTCATCCATCTGTTTTCCTCAATAAGAGTGCTAGATGAGCTTTTGATTTTTTCAGTGTAGGAAAGTCTTTAATGCGATGCCTGTAAAATAATACACAGACATACAAAAAAATTGATATGCTTGCTGGGGACGTGTTGATTAATAACGCTTTAATTTGTCTGCTTAACCTTCACAATTACCAGCCTTTTAGGCATGCATATATTATTTCACAGAGCTCAGTTTGCACGCCTGGTCCCTGAAGAGCCCACTTTACGAGGCCTTCACGTACAATACAGCCATTCAAACAGCCATTAACCACTACAGGGAGAGTCAACTGCAGGCTGGATACAGTTTCAGGTGATGATTTCATTACCTCTGTGCTATTTCTAGTCATGCTTGAAAAAAGGTTTTGCTGGACCATAAAATTATGCCAACCAATGTGCAGAACTGCTCTGCAGCAATAAACCGCCCTTAGTGATCGAGGTTTCTGGTAAAGGGACATTGTCTAAAGTAAAAGTCAATGACCAGAAAATTTGTTGTAAGGTTTGTAATGTGAAAAAAACAGGACACACTGTGTGTGTGTTTTCAATGAATGATGGACGACCGATCTCCATTGGTGATTTTAACTGGTCTAATATAAGTCCCATTAAATCATATAACAGTCACTTTAATATTTCAGTAACATTAAACATTTAGAAGAGCATTAATATTATTAGCAATATAAAGCCATAACTGTAATATAGTGACATCAATTAATGGAGAACTAACACATATGTCAAAATTGAAGGGAATAAAAACATAATCGTGACATGAGAATGAATAATCTTATTATCAAGAAGACACATGCAGCAATATTAAGGTTATTTTGGGGTTTTCAAACTGACGCCAATAAGGACCCCCAAACATGATGATACCCTTGTAAAATAAAAAGGCTATGTTCATACACTACTGTTCAAAAGTTCTGGGTAAGCGGTTTTTTTTTCAGCAAGGATGCACTAAATTACTCAAAATTATCAGTAAAGGCTTTGCAAAAAATCCTGAAGAAAATGTATCATGGTTTCCACAAACAAATTAAGCAGCACAACTGTTTTCAACAGTGACAACAATTAGAAATGTTTCTTGAGTACCAGACTGAAGTAATGGTTGCTGAAAATTCAGTTTTGCCATCACATGAAATAAACTACATTTAAAATATATTAAAACCTCATATTTTAAATTGCAATCATATTTCACAATATTATTGGTTTTATTGTATTTTTGATCAAATAAATGCAGCCTTGTTGAATCTTACCAACCCCAAATTTTGAACGGTAATGTATGCTCATGTATAAAATTGATTACTATTTATACTGTGTGAAAAAATAGTAAGTTATAACTTAATATTTACTAAAAAAAAAAAACCTTTGATAGGCTCCAAAATTCTAGCAACAAGCTGTTTAGAGAATGGATGGATGGAAATATATTTAATTGATTTTTACTTTTTTACGGACTTTTTCACTTTTTGATCTTATTAAATAGACAGCATATCTGTTAACTCTAATAACTGATGTCAATAGAATAAAATAATTAAAATTACCCCATTGTTAAAAATAATTATAAAAACTCCTGTAATAAACTACACATTACTATCTAAGACAATACACTCAGGTATTAGGTAGGGGGAGGGAGGAAACTTCTTTATAAAAATATACAAATATAATACTTTGATACTATTTATAATTGACACAGAACTATAATATTGTTACTTTTAGTTAGTCATTCCTCAACACTGTTTTTATGTGATAGCCAAACTATTTCTGATAAGCTCTTATAGCTCATTTGGAGAAACCTCACTTGAAATGGTTTCCCATGTGTCACCACCTTCAGACAAAATAAGGACTACATCATTAAAATAAAGAAATGGATGTCTTCCACTGAGGCTTCATTAAGTTTGAAAATGTAAGAGCTAGACAAAAAAACAAATTTGTCTCCATGGAGAAGCTCTCTTTGACAATATCCAAAACCCAAAAGAGGGCAAAACATTCCAGGGGTCAGCTATTTTGGCACTTGATTATCAGAGACGCAGTCTGAGGCTGTGTACAGAGAGAACAGAGACGGAGGAAAGGTTCAGTCTAGCAGCCGGGAGCATTCGCCCTCTGGCAGGCTCACAAAAACTGTCACATAGCTCACAGCGGAGGCCCTCAGACTATGACAGCTGCTCATGAATGATTTAGACTTGCCACTGATGGAGGGGTCTTGTCATGTTCATACAAGTTCACTATTAATAAAATCCTGCTGTACAGAGAAGCCAGTGGGACATGTCCCTGCCGTCAAATAAAACACATTGAGAGACTGAATAAAAGCCAGTACGGGGAGCCGGTTAAAGTAGAGCAATTTGGGTGCTTCTGAATAGTGCAAAATATACTAAAGGTGAGAATATTTTTCCCAGGATAGAACTGAATTATGTCTGAATTAAAGGATAGTTTCAGGCTTGTTTCTGAATTTTAATTAAATTTGACCTGAGATAGCAAACAGTATAGAACTGAATGTAAGGAAGTAGAATTAAAATTAACTCAAATTCAAAGACATGCATATATGAATTTTAAAAACCATCTACAGAAATTTGTATTTTTAATTTATATATTTCATTAAATGTATTCAATTATGCAATTCAGTAAATGACTTATCCTTTCAGAACAATTCAAGTTCTGTTGTGTGTTGTGAGCGTTTCATTTTTGGGTGAACTATTCCTTTAATCAGCAATCTGATTTTAATAATAACTTAGGTTTAAGTTATTAAATAAGATTTTCTATAGAATCTTTTAGAATAATTATGATGAATATTGTAGGAAACACTACAGTTCAGAAGTTTGGGGTCAATAACATTTTTTAAAGAATTGAATGCCTTTATTCAGCAAGGACACATAAAACAGATTAAAAGTGACAAAAATGTAAATACATAAAATATATTATACATTATTTGAACTTCTACTTCAAACAAATTATGTTCTTTGAACTTTCTATTCTTTAAAGAATTCATTAAAGAATTCAACCAAAAATAATTGATTATTAACACTGATAATTTACTATCGATGCATTTTAAAATACTTTGTTAAAATAGAAATGTATTTTAAAAGTTATTTTAGTATTCATAGTATTACTCTTTTACTGTATTTTTGATCAAATGAATGCAGCCTTGGTGAGCATAAGAGACTTCTTTCAAAATGATCAAAAAAATCAAACAAACTTTTGAACAATAGTGTGCATCCTCTTAGTCTCCAACAGATGTATAACTGAAGATATCATTACCCATCGTTGGTCACAAACCATCATTCACCCTCTGACCTGTCAATCAAAAATGCCACATACTGTTTTAATATATATTTATGAACATTAAATGCCTTTTAGTGCAACATACAGAATGATATGGTCATATATAAACCATATTACGATGTCAAACAAACCACACACATACTGTAAAGCCATCCAAGACAACAATCTGGGCCTTCAGCCTTCAGACCTGTATGTGATTTAGAGAGTTTGTTTTATTGTGTTTTTGTCATATTTTTACTATTATCGATGGATAGGATTATATGAGTGATGGTGTGAATTCTCCTTTGTGTAAAATATTTTATGGTAAGATTTGAGGATATGGCCTTCTATTATGTATTACTGATCTGTTGTTATGTGATGTGACTCAATAAAGATCATTTTGTATGGTGCTCATGTCTCTGGTCCATACTAGAGCGCCTTAATCTAGTTTCAATTATTCTCCGAAGTCAGGTTTAATTTCAATTGAGCAATTATTGTATTTATTGTAGTAGTTCTTCTTAGCCTGGCCTCAATAGCATTTAAAGAACAAAGTGTAATTCTGAAATTATACCCACCTTACTGAAAAAAAACTGCCTTTCTGGTCTTAGCTGGTTTAAACTGGTCTCCCAGCCTGGCCAAGCTGTTTTTTTTAAGCTTGTTTATAGAAGCCAAAACCCCTCTTAAACCATCCAACAGACCAGCCAGAGCCATGGGGGTGTGTTTTCTGTACAACAATGTAACTCGCTGGTTAACTACCATAGTATAATGCAATGTTGGAGAAATTACCTAGCTTGTCATGACTGTTTCCCAAAATTGTAGGAATTTTATAGCATGAGCACGGTCTATTTAAGTTTATGTCATACTAACAAAAAAACTATACATCTTACCACTGGTTAAGAGATGAACTTCAACCACACAACTTTGCAAATGTTCTTTGGAACTATACACTGAATCATTGAACTTGCTTATGTTTCTTATGATGGGACCATAGTTGGTTAAAAATGCTTTTAGGAAACGCTCTGCAGCCTGGGAAACCAACTAAGACCAGCAAACAAACCTAGACTGGTTTAACATGCTTTTTCAGCAGGGTTTGTCCACCAAGCACCCCCAATTCAACTATCTGAACTGTATATTTGAGATAACTGGCATTTAAAGTCAAGCTACTGAAGAGCAGAAAGGGTCTCCTCACCAGCGGACACTTCTGACATCTTCAGTGCTGATGTCTGGTGTGTGAGATGGAGGCGCCCACTGCTGATCTGCAAAATCAGGTAACGGGGCTCCTGACCAGAGATTAGTGGACTGGACAGCAGCAGGCCATCAGGGTTCCATGTGCGAAATTGCAGGCGCACTGAAAGGTCCTCCAGGATCAGTGCAGGTGCTGGCAGCAACAGAAAGCTGCTGCTGGAACTCTGAAATGTGGCGGCCACCAGCTGTGGTTCCGAGCAGGAAAAGGTCACGTTGCCCTGTGAGAGAAGGGAGAACGCCAAAGCATTGGTTTACATGCAAGCAGGGGATGACCAAATGGCAATCACAATAACAATAAAGAAATGCAAATCTCATTTAAAAAAATTGGTTTAAAACATGCTACATTCTTAAAAACTCACTACTTCTACTTAGAATTTGTATTTGATGATTTCAAAAATGTATTCAATTTTTTTAAAGTTTCATTTAGTCTTTTTGTGTAATTATCATGTAAAATGTAATAAAAGTTTTCTTTTCATCTTGAATATATGTTAGTGTATATCATATATAATTCCTTGTTTTATGTTTCACTGTTCATTTCACTGCAGTTTCACTGTGCATATATTCATAAGCAGCAAAGCAAGTTTTCTTAAAATATTTAAATTGTTGTAATTATGCACTTTAAAAATATATTACAAAGAATTTTAATACAGATATTAGAACATGCTCATCATAGAAAAGATTTATTCAAGTCATTGTTTATATGAACTGCAGTTGAAAACCTTCCTAAAAATAAGAGTTGTCATTGCTGAAATGTGAAAAATTAGATGCAACTGAGAAAGCTGGTAGCACAAGAAATTATGTCAAAGAAAAAAAAAGAGGAAAAGAGGAAACAAGCTGAAGGGTCACAAGAGAACTGGAGAGGCTGAGAGCCAGACAGGCTAAACCCACAAAGGCAGCAGGCGGTCTGGATAAATGTCACCAGCGCAGCTCCACGGAGAGCAACAGAAGCACAGAGAGCACATCTGCAGGACAGAAGCTCACGTAGGCATGAAAAGGTTACTGCAGTGTGAGGTGAACACCTCATTGATCCCTGTGCCACAGGGCTATACAGACACCAGACTGCTGAACTGAAGCCTCAGCAGACCTTCTCCAACCTGACAGCCCTAAGCTGTGTAACGTGAGCGCATTTTTGTATTTTACAGAGCTAGACAGAATGCCAGTCATCCCTCCTCTGAAGTGGAAATATACAGGAATGTGATGTGATAATTTCTAACAAGCAGCTGTTTTGCAGGAAGAGAGAATTCAAATGTGATTGAAAAACATGATTTGTGAAATTGCTGAGAAAAGAAATTGAAAAAAGCTAACGTGTGAAACTCGGCTCAGTTTGCGCACACCTTTAAAGATTCCTGCTGATACCGAAGTGGCAGAAGTAATATGTTTGGACATGTTATAATACATACAGCACAACTGAAGCATTACATTTGAGTGAGAGGATCACAGCATCACAAGTTCAGAACCCATTTCTCATAATAAACCAAATGCTTACCACACTGTATATCTGCGGTTTTCTCCGTTTCGCCAAGTCGATGACGTTCACTCCATTGTAGTAGAGGTTCTCCATGCAGCCATGAAAGTTACGTCGAATGAAGGTTCCTGGTTTACCTGGCAGTGGGATCCCACCAAAGCTTAGCTGATTTAGAGAATGAATAAAACACATATCCTGTCTCAAAACATATATAATCATGAATAAAATATCAAATGTGCTCGCTTTCTATTTCTATCCAGTATTACAATATATTCTAAATTGGATGGAAGGATAAATTACATACAGCACAACTGAAGCATTACATTTGAGTGAGAGGATCACAGCATCACAAGTTCAGAACCCATTTCTCATAATAAACCAAATGCTTACCACACTGTATATCTGAGGTTTTCTCCGTTTCGCCAAGTCGATGACGTTCACTCCATTGTAGTAGAGGTTCTCCATGCAGCCATGAAAGTTACGTCGAATGAAGGTTCCTGGTTTACCTGGCAGTGGGATCCCACCAAAGCTTAGCTGATTTAGAGAATGAATAAAACACATATCCCGTCTCAAAACATATATAATCATGAATAAAATATCAAATGTGCTCGCTTTCTATTTCTATCCAGTATTACAATATATTCTAAATTGGATGGAAGGATAAATGCCACTACATATATGTATATACAAATTTCTATTTAAAATTATCTTTATAAATAGAAATTGTATATATTCCTCATAGGCTCCCATAAAATGAAACACTGCTTCTGAACATTGTCTTGAGACTGGCTTAGCACACCGTTGTGGTAAACAAAATGCCTGAAGTCTTTGGTATTTCGGGCTGTCTTGCATGATTTGTTTCAGGTCATGCCACAATATTTCAGTGGGTTTAAGGTCAGGACTTGACTTGGCTTTTCCAAATATGAAATTTCTTCAAACTCCATTTAGTTGCAGATTCTATGAAGGATCATTGTTATGCTGTCCGAGCTTCTTTCTGTTAAGCTCCATCTCACGTATGGAGAATCTGACATGGTTGTATAAAATGTATGGATACATTCCAGAAGTTACTCTGCTGTGCTGCTCAGCTGCAGGGCAGTTTCAAACTATTTTGAATGTTTTTCTTTCTTGGAACATTTTTTTTTGTTGGCAAAAATCTTCTAGTTCTTTCTACACTGCACATCTGTCCACAATACTTTCTTTAAAAAGACACTGGGAACATCCAGTCCAGTCATGTGCCTTTATACAGAAGGCACTAGTGAGTTTCCATTCAAAAACAGTAGGATCACAGGGGCTTACATTTCAAAATAAATATATAAATGAACAAGACGATTATGTAATTAGGAAGCATGACAAGGCAACTGGAGAGTCCTTGCTGCTGTGGGAAATAAAGGTCAGTCTGTGGCCAGGCGGTCATCGTCTCAGTGGCAGCCAAGCTATGTCATGCCATTCCGGGATCTGGAGGAGACCTTGTGCAACTCATACATAGAACAGTGGTGTCTCTCATAGGTGAGGTGAACTGATGCCTTTATAGTGCTATTTACTTCAGGTGCACCTCATCAGCTGCGCTACAGTTAGCCTTCGACTTCTATTGTAAGTCTGGCTCTGGGACAGCCACTGGAGAGCTGGGGAAACGAGGGGAGGCAGATACTCCATCACAGTGGATTTATGAACTCAAAATTTCCCCTCAATGATCAATAATGTATTTTCTTGTGGTTTTGAAATCTAGTGCCTCATGGGTCTTTAAAAATCCTTTTCCTAGGCTCCCTGAAAACTAAAACTGTGTGATGAAGAGAATACTGTAATACTGTACATATAATCTTTTTGTCTGTGCTAGTTATATTATTACCTCAAACACCTGATTTTCATCTGTTGGTTGGAGCATCTTATCTTTTTTTTGCCCTCTTCAAAAGGCTTATTATCCAATTAGTTCAATCACTTATTGAATTATTTGTTCAATTAATTAATTATGATTTTATATATTATATATTATTATATTATATTAAATTTATATCAGCATGTTTGGTATACAAAAACATTCAAATTTTTGGGGTACATTTAAAACAAAAAAGAAATTAATTTTATTCAGCAAGGATGTATTACATTTATCAAAGTGACAGAATTCTTTTGTAACATTATAAATGTCTTTACCATTTCAAATGAATGCAGTTCTTTTCTTTATGTTTTATTTTTATCCTGAAAAAAATATAATGGATTCCACAAAAATATTAAGCAGTACAACTGTTTTAAACATTGTTAGTAATAAAAAAAGTAAAAGAAAAAAGAAATCATTAAATCAGCATATCAGAATGATTTCTGAAGGATCATGACACACTTAAGATTTTATTTTATTTTATTATTTTATTTCAAGGACTACAGACCATTTAAAAGGCCAACTTTTGCACACAGCTGCATACAACTGTATCTCCATCAGACAAATTCCACATATGTAGAGTCTGCCACCTCAAAGACTTGTCATTTCAAAAAACAGGAAATTACAGGGTCCCAGAGACCAACCTCATAGTCGACCTCTAGAGAGTCTCCATCACCCTTGGTCCTGAAGTGCTGAGTGTGTCTGTCCAAAGTGAAGTTGACCTGCTTGTTAAAGCGTTCGATCAGAACGGAGTGCCAGTGCAGATCATCCAGGAGACTTCCTAGAGTGACCACCATACGAGCACTGCTGGATCTCACCCTGCTGTCATCTGCCAGTTAGAAGAGGTATCTCATGAGTCATATGCTACTAACACGACATATATTCATTAGCATATGTATTAATATTTTACTTAATAATGCATTCTTATGAATTTTATCAATAGTCTGTCTCCACTCCAAAGTAGCTATGGTTAAATATTGAATACTTCAAACCTTTGAAGTTGCTAACTTCCCTCAGTACTGTAACTCACCCAGGTTCAGATGCAAAGCCAGTCTGCCACGATGAAGCTCCAGAGTGATATAATCTCCTCGCTGGCCTTCCCCATGCAGTAAAACACCTTCTGCCTGTCGACTCTTAAATCGCAATGATATAACATCTTTCACTGTGCTCATAGACTTCTGGTTGAATCGGTAGAGCAAAGAGCTTCTGCCATCAAAATCAGTCACATACGATCCTATAAACACATGAGATTTTGTATGAAACTCCTACTGAAGATATTCTCATTTCACTCAAAATTTAAATAACAAATAAAATAATACTACACAGAAGAACAGAGTAATTGGAGAGTCATTTCACATTTAATGTTTTTACAATAATAAAAATCATGATGAAACTAGAAAATGAGATTGACTAAACTGCTAAAGCTGTGATTTGCAGATTTGCAGATGCCTTGAATTTGTTGCTAGGAACATTTTAGGAAACAACATATTTACAAACTGACAATACAAATTCACAATCAAGTATAACAGCAAAAAGTAATTTATGTAACCCAAGGCTAGAATACACTACACAAATTTTAAAATATGAAAAACTTTTAAAACACTAGCCATCATACATTAGCTGATTTTGTAAAGTTAAAAAGAAAAACTGGACAAACATACACAAAATGAATGAGGATCACACACTACTAGAATTTCATGCCATTTGAATACAACAAACTCATGCAGAAACGTGCCTCGTTGCTAGGAGATGCTGACAAATAAGAACAATGTGTTTTTTTTTTATTGGCTCAACATATTAAACATCAGAATCAGAATCAGAATCAGAATGAGCTTTATTGCCAGGTATGTTTACACGTACGATGAATAAGACTGCACCAGACAGCCAACTGCTCGACCTCCTGTCTGTAAGCAGACTCATCACCGACTCAACATGTCTGATAAACTGGATAGAATCATAGCCTAATGCAAAAAAAAATCTGTGCCCATCATACACTACGCAGTTTTCTGTGAAGTCTGTCAACTCTGACGTCCCAAAATCTACAGGCTTTCAGCAACGAATCTCAACTTGTCCAGACTACAATTTGGTGCAAAAATCCATGCAGAACTTGTGTAGCATATTTCAGCTTTAAACTGGAGTTGTAACTGAGCTATTTTTAATGGGAGGCTATCATAAAATGACTGGCATCTCTGAAGATATTAGTACAGTTCTTACAGGAGAACCTTTCTCCTTTGATGTTTTAATCAAACAAGTTAATGGGGCTCAAAAGCTCCCAGCACAGACGATGAACTCAGTGAATCAAGCATTTCACAAATGTTTAAATCTAGTGTCTGAATGACATAACGTAATGCGATCAGCTGCTGCCCATCCTCAATTCTTTATTAAATAGGCTATTGGTAAACAGAAATGTTGTTTCTCAATTTTCAGCTTCCTAAAGTAAAAGAGAAGAATTCCTGTTTCTCCTTGTACAAGAAGAAAAACGTTAGAGACTCAGAAAGTCAATTAAGTTTGTCTTGAGATGGTCAAAAAGGCATTTGACATTGAAGGAAAGCGTCTGCTATGTCTCAATTCCCTATTACCCATTTGAGCAATGCAGCCAGTGCGACCCAATGTTCCAAGACAAAAGTTTAAAAATTTTTCTTCGTTGTCTTTTAAACATATGACTTTTTGTTAGACCAAAATAGTCTAAATATTCTTAGGATCAAAACACAAACTCCCATGCATGTCTGCACAGTTGTTTTGCAGAAATCTCTTTATTGGTGTTTTGCTGGCACTCATAATGATGTAAAACCCTAAAGCCTACAGAAAAAATGAATGAAAGAATGAGTTTAAAAAATAGAGAGAAAATGAATGCCTCCTTTTTTGGATTAGTGAAGCAAAGTAGAAAAGCCTGCATATATTCCAGCATTGAATATAATGACCTATTTCTGATGATAATAAGCAACTGCTCCGTTTGGTCAAATAAGGATACTGTGAGCTATGAGGTACGTAGTCTGGGCATAGCAATCTTGCAGTCGTGATAATGACACTTATATAGTATTCTACCATTCGCAGGTTCAGCTTGAGTTCACAACTGTCACAGCAGTTGGCTGATTAGCATTAGTATTTTGCTTATTATGTGATATGCGGCTCAAGTTCATCTGAGCTGTTAGGTGCAATCACCGCACTACCAGTGAGCACTAGCCATCAAATCATGTATAATTAAAAGAACATTTATGCTCTTCTTTCAAGGTTATATTCGGCACTCATGATCCAGTGTATTTTAGTCAGACAAGTGCTTATAGATTCATCATATCAAAACTGGTTCAGATTTGTCATGGGATTTGCATGTGAATTCTTTAAGTGTCTGTGGTTGATTAGCACAGACAGCTGAACTGAGATTCTTCATGCAGCATGTATCTGCAAAGCACACATTCATTCGAGTTTAATACATGGATCATGCCATGGAATAATGAAGGCGCTAACTGAGGGACCTTTTTATGAATGCTTTGTAATTCAAACACTGATCCATTTTAAGGATGTAAATATCATTAAAGATACTTTTTTTCTAGCTAACACAGGCTGATAAGTGTCTGATATTTGGACATCTTTGTTCAGTTTTGGAAAAGTATAATCAAAGAAAGTCATTAAACGACCTTCATTTAAAGGAAAACAGAGTGAAACTGCTGTTGTCATGCAATGAATTATATGTATCACCTTAATTCAACACCTGGAAAAAATACTGTGTGACTAGAAAAGGACAAAGACAGAAGGCATGTGAAGATCAGCAGCAAGAATTATGGGTAATGTTATCACCTTATATACTGTGTCGCAACTATTTTATTGTCCCTGTTACCAAGACTGTGGAAATGTGCTCTGTGAACTGTTATGGGATCTAGGATGCTTCTGTAATCCTTCTTATGCAACTCTTTTCTTTTCTTACAGCTCTCTCATGGAATGATAAAAAACATGAGAGAAACTGCATAATATGGAAATGTACACTGTAAAAAATATTTTTCAAAGATATAAATGAAACAAAGATGGTCATACTTTATTTTAAGGTCCTATTCTCACAATTAACTAACTATTAACTATGACTTTTGCCTCAATAAACTCCTAATTACTGCTTATTAATAGTTAGTAAGGTAGTTGTTAAGTTTAGGTATTGGGTAGGATTAAGGGAATATGAATATGGTCCTGCAGAATAAGGCATTAATATATACTTCATAAATGGTAATATGCAGCCAATATGCTAGTAATATGCATGCTAATAAGCAACTAGTTAATAGTGAGAATTGGTCCCTAAAGTGCTACCACAAAGATTATTGGAGTATGTTTTACATGAAAAAACTATTTCAGCTTTTCTACTAAAATTTTATGTTTAATTCAATGCATTATTTGCTGTTTCTTAGTAATTAATTGTGAAATTTACTAGCAATTTCTGAGTGAAAATCCACACCATTTTTGTGTACATCTGAACTCCAACTGTAAAGCTGATCACAGAAATACTGCTTATCACTAAAAATAAATGTAAGACATGTAACTGTTATGTCTGAGAAAGTAAAATGCCTGCTAGACATTTGTAATATTATGTTTTAAACATTAAATACTCTCACTCACGGTAAGCACAGCCATACACAGCCACTCTGATGCCCACCCGGCCACTGGGGCTCCACTCCAGAGGAACAAAGCGGAGGAACCGGGTTCTGATAGACTGGCTGAGTTTATGGTGGACCACGCTGTCTGGATTCACATTACCCACCAACCTCTGTAAACAGACAAAAAAGAAAATGGTTTTCACTTTTCATGAATATGGTACACTTTGTTGTCTCAGAAGTTTTCTGAAGCAATAGAGGCACAAATCCATGTTTTTGTTGTGAGAAGTATTAGATATATTAGGAAATTTGATTATTAAAGGTAATAATGCTAATTAGTTTAAAAATAATAATTTTTATTTTTTAAAATTATCAGTATTAATTATCAGTCCATTTATTTTACACTTTGATTGTTAGCAAAAAAAAAACAAACAAACAGGGGTTTCAAACAAACAATTGGCATTTTCAAGTACTATTTTACACCACATTATTGGAAAGTGCCCTATAATATTTTAATCAGACATTTTCTGCAGATGAAATGCTATTTATGAATATGCCAATCCAGTTGAATGCAAAGAGCAGTATTTCTTTTGAAGGTCGTAACAGTTTATGTAAATGTCAACTCGATTTTCATCTGCTAGCACTCATAATTTGACAGTAATTTGCACCCGAGTCACTTCACAGTTGAGACTTGCATGGAACATGAGAACCGATGACCAAAACGCCACATGGTTACGGATTAATCACAAAAAGAAAACATCGACTTTTTTCTAAGATAGACTTTTCCATGTCCCTTTGAGATAAATAACATCAACATTATCATCACCTCCCCTGGTGAGCCACTCACAGCCCAGAAATGCTGTTATGACGCCAGCAAAAACAACAATCTGACATTAGTGACTTTAAAGGCCCTGTTTTGTTTTGCTTGCAGACACATTTGGAAAAAGAAATACTGCACTAGCCAAAAGTATTACGGATAGCACATTTGTAAATAAGCAAGCGCGGTGCACTGGAGTTTGTGGAAGATCTACTTTAAAGACTCCACTCTTAAAGGAATTGTCCATCCAAAAATGAAAATTCTGTCTTTCTGACTTTCTTCTGTGCACACAAATATATCTTCACTGTGAGATTAAATATCAGCAAGACATTTTTGTAAAATGCAAGGGTGGTTTTCAAAATGTTACTCTGTTACTCTTACTCTTATTTTATTTTATTATTTTATTTTATTTTTAGTTGTTTTAATCTCATTTATGCATTTTGAAAGCTTTTTTTGCACTGATAATCATTATTTTCATATCAAATCAGTTCTGTACTTTATGATACTTCTCCTTCCTTTTGTAAAGCAGTTTAGGTAGTTTTCCATTGTTAAATGCATCAATAGCAACATGAGCACATTGTCATTACATCACCAGCTTTTCATCGACACTCTCATTTGAGCACTCAGTGACGACAACGTCCTGTCCCTGACTGCTTCTTCCTCTCTCTTTTTCCACCTCTGAGAGGGAAAAAAGAAAACAACAATACATCCATCCAATTACCTATCAGCTCACCTCAGCCCAAGGGCACAGCGGAGCTGGGGAGATGCCCCGGTTACAGGCTGCCCACGTAAACAGCTTCTCTCTACACTTCATTAACTCTATTCCTGTATGGACTTCTGCTAGACCTCCTCCTCCTTCATTAAGCCCCTGTGCACTGCTGGCGTTATCACAGACTCTCCATGGACCGTTTCATCAGCCCGGTTACGTCTGCAACTGTTACATCCTCCTGTGATTCACCAGTCATCGCTTCCCTAAAACCAGTGTGAATTCACATCAGAAAGAAGAGCCAACACAAGATGAGCTCAATTGGGGTGGGTTTTGTATTTGTTATTTGACAGTAAAACACTTGTCGGTGCTTGCTATGTCTCTTATAAAAGACTGGAGACAGTTCATTCAAATAGCAAACCAAAGTTATTATTGTTAACTGAACCTAAAACGATAAAAAAAAGTTTTAATAAAATAAAACACATTTTTAGATGAAAAAACTTAAACTAAATGAAAATTCTTTGATAGGATAATTTAAAAATAACACATGATGAATGTTTTACAACTTTGTATCAACAGAAATCAGTTTTTGCGTTGCCCATGTGTTGAATCGAGCTTCCACTGACCTACTCTAAGCATTGAATTGCACTCTGTCCCCGGAGAAGCGAGGGCCCGAGAGTGTCAGAAATAGACAGCACCTCAGTGCCTCTGTGACCATGTTTAAATGAGAGCTAAGACAGCAAAACTGTCCCCAGATGACAGACAAGAAGTCTCTTCCTTCCCTCTCTCTGTCTCCAGTGTGCATTGCCTGCACTAGGAAACATCATGAATGTTTTATTTTCAGTCATTCAGTGAAACAGAAAACAGATTAAATATCTAAAGAGATCCAAAGGCCTGGCAAGTGACGATTTCATCATTGTCTGAGAGCTGTAAGGGTGTCGCTAGCATGTGTACTGTGAGCCAAGTGAGAAACTCACACACTAGGTGATTTTTTTAGCACACACACTTCTGCGAATCTGATTCTTGCCTGCTATGGCTGAATGCGTCGCAGACTTTTACATCAATTATACTTTATGGCACCCGAATGGGCCACCAGGCTCATGCTTTAAGCAAGCTAATCTAACGAAACCATGGGTCCTCCTATCGATTGCCTATGGGGCTGCTCAAGCCTCTGTGTAACGTGAGACCTGAGAGGTATGGATGAGAGATGGAAGGTGAGAAAGAGGAATATAGAAAGAAATTAGTTGATTTAGCTACCCATAATCAATGACATGCGATTACTGCTTGAGAACAATAACAAGATGAACTGACGAGCAAAATTGATATAATATAAAACATAATATAATAATATATAATAATTATATAATATATCATATTTAGGGCTGTCAATTAATTAAAAATAAAATCAAAATAATTAAATAATACGCTGATTAATTAAACAAATAATCACTATTATTAGCATATCTTTGCTAAGAAAGGTCTGAAATGAAGATTATTTTATTGCTGCATACAAAACAAACATCACAACAAGTGACTTTAAAAGTCAATATGACAAAAGTCATTTGTTTTATTTCCCTTACAGAACTTATACATGGATAAGGGAAAATGATTCAAATGCATAATTTTCTGACATTTTTTATAACTAAAATGTGCTAGTTCAAACTGAAAGAACTAATATTTTCAATATAACTATATATAGCAAATATTTCCTCACATATAAGAAATTGAAAGAGAGAATAGTTTGTTTTATGTAGCTTTTGATAGTTTAGTGCAATGGAACTAACTAGTTCAAAAACAGAATTGTGTCAATGATAAAAGCTTAATGAGTTCAAAGACTTAGTTTGTCACTTTTGAACATTCTATTTATTCAAGCACAACAACAGTTTTGATGTCGTAAGGTAAAACCTTTGTGGTATTAATCCTAAGATTTGCTTTAATGTACTGCCAGGATTTCACAAAATCCGCCCTTTTGAGCAGGGTACATCCACTTATATATACAAAAAACACTTAAAGTGTGTCCCTCCTGATTAAGGACTACTAGGCATGTTTTACTACCTATTCTGTTCAAAAATTGCTATAAATAAAAAAAATTGTGTCAATGATAAAAGCTTAATGAGTTCAAAGACTTAGTTTGTCACTTTTGAACATTCTATTTATTCAAGCACAACAACAGTTTTGATGTCGTAAGGTAAAACCTTTGTGGTATTAATCCTAAGATTTGCTTGAATGTACTGCCAGGATTTCACAAAATCCGCCCTTTTGAGCAGGGTACATCCACTTATATATACAAAAAACACTTAAAGTGTGTCCCTCCTGATTAAGGACTACTAGGCATGTTTTACTACCTATTCTGTTCAAAAATTGCTATAAATAAAAAAATAATAATATTAATAGCTAGAAGTTGCCCATTAAGATTATTACACATTTGATTGTCATGAAATTTCATTTGAGGGAATGAGGAAAACCATATTGTTTTCACAATAGTTCAGAGAGCTACTTTATGTGGGCTCAGTGCCAATACTCAACTTACACCTAATTCAGCTATGCTCCTACTTCAGCTAGGCTCCAAACAAATTATAGTATCCACATTGCTCCGCTCATGCTCACAGTGTGAATACTGTAACCTGTTAATATGACCACCAAAATAAATGTGTGGTGTGAAGCAGGACTTATACATTGATGGTGAGAATGCAAGCTTGAAATCTCTTCTGTCAAAAAGGAAAGAAAAAGAGAACAACAAATAAAAAAAGGACAAAGAGAAAATAAAGGTATTTCTGTCAATACAGCACTGCTTGAAAGCAAAATGATCCACCATATGGAGGTAACCTGGATGTCATGACTACATAACTGTCAGTTTTAACATCTGTCATGTTGTTAGCATGTTCCAGTTTGATTCCTGTCATCCTCCCTGTTAGACTGGGAATTCTCTGGCTATCCTTTTCGCATCCCAGAGACACTAGCACACTTCACTCACACACAGACTGTCTGCGAAAAGAAAATGACAAAGGACGGCATGAACACAGCTCAATAGCTCAAAGCCCCACAGGCTATAAGACGGAAGAAATGACTGTGGTGAGGCCCCCACAAAGCTTATGCAGTCAGCAATTTTCGGTCAACGTAGGCGAATCCTGTTTCCCTGCCAGGAGATGACGGCAATACAAGATGAAGACAAAGAATGAAATGTGTCAGTGAAACTCCAGCAAGATACATGTCAACAGCTATTTCTGCTTTTGAAATGCTAGCCTGTCTTCAGTTCACCAGGGCCACAATATTAATGTGACATGAGCTGTCCGGATCTCAAACGTTTAACCAAAAATCAACACCTGACTAATGCATAAAACTGACTGTTATTGTTGACTGATTATTGATTAAATATACAATAAATGCATGCTTTTACAAAATGTACTTGCTCCTTCCTCTCTATCCTCCTCGGTCTCACAGCAAACACTATTACACATCAACACACTCAGCAGCCACAGCAGTGCAGACTGGAGAGAGCAATTATCTGCCACTTCGGGGAGCCCATTCACACCTTCCTATAAGAAGACCTCTGACATACAGCAGAGGCAAACAAGCTCTGCGGATGGGCCATCATCTTAGCCCAAAACATTTGGCAGCTTTCCTCAGCAGATTCAGATACAACGCTCATTAAGTCAAAGCACCATCTTGACAACAAATTAAGAGTGTTTTTATTCTTATTCTTTTGATTGACAAGTCATTCTTTTCATTTAGCAGACACCTTCTTTTACAAACCATTTTTTACTATTATTAATGTTGAAATCTGGTGTTGCTAAATATTTTTGTGGATACTGTGATACTTTCGCCCCAAGATTCTTTGATGGATAGAAAGTTCAAAAGAACAGTATTTATTACATTGGGTGTGAAAATGTGTAGATTTTACTGAATACATAAGATTTAAAGCTAATTATTGCATTACAATAAATTCTGGTGTTTCAACTCACTATATAGATATATAAACTTACATAATCTTAATTACCATTGATGAAAATGTATATTTTCAATACCTCACTTATGGGAATATATTTCTGTTTGTGAATTTCTTTTATATGATGAATGGATGTATCCTTATGTAAAAGGGCAAGGATCAATCCCCTAAACCTGGTGAATGACACATAATTGTAAACAGAATATAAATAAAACCAATTGACTGCTACCTCAGAAGCATTTATATACAGATTACTAAATCAATCCTTTACACATGACAGCACAGCATGACTCAGAATGACAGTGAATATAAACCATTTCTTACTGTATATCATGTCAAACATTCCAAGCTTTATAATGAGCCTATTGTGTATCAAATAAAAGTGCTGCTGGAATATTAATAAAGCTGAGAGAGACTGCAGACATTATTATTATTACCGCATTGCTTCACACTGTTGAGCAGTGTTAACTTTACACTTCTGATCAACTTTATTCTACATTTCCACCACATTAAAAGCTAATTACAGCTTACTTGACTGTAATCTTCTCTTTTAATTAAACACACTTTGAAAATGCCATTATATCTTTAATAAAGCAGCGGTCTCATCGTTTGAATATAATTACAAAGCAGCAACAGGGGACGATGAAAATTCTGTAATTTACAAGCGTTCTAAGTGTAGAGGCCAAGCCTGAAGACAAAGACAATAGATGCGTTGCTGGCTCAGCATCAAGCTCTCTTCAAACACCTGCAATGATTGAGAGGCTGTGGCAGGTTCAACATCATTAGAACAATCTATTTCAGGAATCTCAGAAATTGCTAGCAGCAATTCGTATGTTCGTAACTGAACTCAGAGTTCAGTTAATGGGATCAGAACTTTTCAGCGCATGAAAATAAGCTGCACTAAAGATATTCAAAACAAGACTATCTGCAGCAGCATAGGTGATGCGTAATCAATTAAAGCAGTAAATATTCAGCCGCTAAAAGAGATAATCAAAAGGATAATGATCTTAGTTTCACATGCTCTTTGGAAATTGAATCCAAACAGGCCGGTCAGAACCCTGACACAAAGCAAAGAAGGGGTTTATTTTGCCCTAATGACCGGGTGAATGTACATTATCCCACTTATTACTCACCAAATAAATAAATAAATTGACATGAAATATTGATTTGAGTTGAAATTATATGATTATGTGAGAAGAAAGAGACTGCAGAGTGATAAGAGAAGCATTGAACTAGTCCATTGTAGGAAATTGGTTGTCAGGGACAATGGTGAAATATACAGTTTAAAGATCATTACACAAAAATATTCAACTGCAGAATGCTGCGATTGACCAATCAGAATTGCGTATTCCAGTGCACCGTGTAATACTAAACTGTATAATTTACAGTTGCCCCAGACAGTCTATTTCCTATAGCTGTGCTAGTTTGCTGTATTTTATCACTCCACAGTCTTTTTCCTCTCACATAATAAAATAATTTAAAGCAAAATCAATATTTAAGATAAGCAGCTATATAAGATATATAAGATAAGCAGCCAGTTATTTTTGCAAAATAAGCCCCAACAGGGTGAAATGGAATACACACACTTACCCCAACATTGTCCTCTAACATGTACTGCTTCCAGATGCGTCCGGTGTCACTGTACAGGAGCATGTAGGCACTGACCCAATCATTGCTGCCATGACGACCTTGCGTGGCCACCGCTGTCACCTCCATTCGGTCCTGGAGGTCAACTTGCAACCAGGGTGACCTGTCCGTCGACTCTGGGCTCCACCCACCTCCTCCTAGAGAACCCCATAAGCCCTCTGTCAATGTTTATCAAAACATTATTCGATTTTGAGTGTCATATGATGGAGAGGAAATTGGCACTGGCTTTCATTTGAGCAACTACATGAAACTATCACAACTGCATTTCAATTTGGCTTTCAGTTGGTTTTGTATTCATAGTGTGAGCTGCTGTCAATCAGTAGATGCCTCCACTCCAAAACAAACCAAGAAGCATCAACCTCTTGACCTCGCTTAACATGTACAACATTCACTTTGGATCTGCCAGCACATGTGTTCCATATAAAGTTGCATTTCTGCCTCCACAATCCTCCAGCTCACTGCATGGAGAAATTGGTCTGAATCAGGGAGAGAAGTTCATTACTCAAGCACTGCGGACACCACAGGAGCAGATCAGAGCAGAATTTTAAACTGGGGACCTCTGACTTGAAAGAAGCAGCTTTTACACAGACCCCCTAGAGAGAGGAATCATTTAGTTTGTTACAGATGCATGCGGTTAAGGTTGGTCACATTTATAAATAGCTCAGAGGACATGCGAAAAGCGAAATCTCAATAATGTATCAAGCCTGCAATTTTCTGGAGATGGAGTTATGGTTTTCTTTCTTGTCATTTTGGGCATGAATTAAATTCACATGAATGATTTAATGATCTTCATCTTTTCCCCGTGATTTATTTATTTGGTTTTAAACAAAAAGTTGAGATACAAGGTTTATACTGATGATGAAGCATTATCATGAAAATATTTTTGATACATTGCCTTGGAAATTTTAAATAAGAAAAAAAGCATTGTTTAATTGTATAAAATGTTGCATAACAGTTGTATGATATAACCTTAAACAAACCTTACACAATATACATAAATATATGAACATGTACACTACTGTTCAAAAGTTTAGGGTTGGCAAGATTTTTAAAATGTTTTTGAAAGACTATTTTTCACACCAAAACTGCATTTATTTAATCCGAAATACAGCATAAACCGTAACATTGTAAAATATTATCACAATGTAAAATAACTGTTTTCTATTTGAATAATTTCATTTTTAATTATCTGATGATAAAGCTGAATTTTAATCAGCCATTACTCCAATCTTCAGTGTCACATTAGTGTCACATAAAACTATTAATTTCTTACAGACCCTAAACTTTTGAACAGTATTGTGTAAATATTTACACATGTAAAAGAATGACAGCATTACAAACTCAAATATGTCAATAAATAGTCAGTATAGCATGCAGTCTATAGGCAAAAAAACGGTTACTGTAGGTTCAAAGAATTCATGAATAAAAGGCTCCCATAACACTATGACGGCTTCAATTTCCCAAGTGTAATTTATATGGTCTCCTTAATTGACACGTATGGATGAATTAACATGCAAAGGAGAACTTACCATCTCTTTTGTTTAATTTGGCAAAGTACGCAGCCCGACTGTCTGAGAAATGTGAAGAGCTCTGAAAGGAAGTTGCAGGCAGAAGAGATGCCAGAGATCCATCACAGCTGTCTGGATAACACAATAATAAAACAGACAAATATTAGCTAATGTGAAAACAAACCCCTCTTCTTATGAATGTGTAACATATTTTCCTCAGATAAATCTTTTTCTGTTCAGATCATCATCACACAGGTGCGATCTCTTCACAAATAATGATACCTGCAAATAATCCGGATAGTGTGGAATTTCATGGCAAATCCACATTTATGCACCTCTTTTGTTCATATCAAACCAAGTTGCTACATTTTGAGAGTTTGAATAACTGAGTGAACTTTTTTCTTAATAATTTCAGAAGGTGCAACATTCTATTACCTGTAGATTTGAAGGACAACCTGAAGAAAAAATAAAATAAAAATCAACATACAGATCTGAGCTGAAATTAAGTTTAGCAGTTATTTGAAAATAATTAAACAAATGCACACACAAAGGTTTAGCATTGACATGGTTTTACATGTTTTAAAGGTTGTATAATCTATGTAATAATAATAATAATAATAATAATAATGGCTTCATGGTCAGAAGCTTAAAAATGAGATGGAGAGAAAAACAGGTTTCTGGGTCAAGAAAGCAACTGCTGAACGTTATCTCTATGGTAACAGCAAAATATACCACTGTACTTTGGTAAAGTGTCATAATTAGGGTTAAAACTCAGTAGGGGTCCTGACTTTACTGTTTGATGGAAAGGGTTATGTGCTACATTACCATGTAAAGTTCACAGACGAGACAATAAATCACCTATTTATTCTATAGTGTGAAAAAAAACATTCCTAGCTAACAAAATTCATCACAAAACAAGTTAATCTAGAAATATCCAAAAACATTTAGTAAAAATCTTGCCCATAAAAATAAACATTCTGAAAGTTGTCCCACATGAAATGTCCTCAATAAGACCTCCAATGGCTTCAGGACATAATTACTTTAAAACCGACTTTTAACCACCGCATGTGCCATTCCTGAACTGTAAAGACAAACGCATGTTTTTAACAATGACTTAAAATCAGAATGAATTGAATTAACATGTCCACAAACTCTTCTTGAACCTTCTCTTGGGTGTCTGCTACAGATGCTAAACTTCTTTCACTGTGGTTTTCATTACAGCTCCCCAAATGATGTGAATTATTTTGCATTGCAAGCAAAGGCCTTGAGGCAGGAAGAAAGAGATATGAAAGGGTAATTGGATATCAATAATTACACATGGGATTTCTCGGTCAGCTCCCTACCGGTGTTGTATTCCACAAAGACATTTCCATTTAAAAACATTCTGCCGTACTTTATGTTTGCTGTCCAATGTTACAAGCCAGAGTCTAAGGCTTAAAAGGGCACTTAAATAAAATTGATAGCTATGAACATCATGAAATGATGATAGAAATCACTTGTTGTAAGTTCACAGGGTCTGATCTATACATTCTGAATATGAATAAGCACTTCAATCACAAAAAAACATCACAGACAAATGCTGCACACTCCAGATAACCCCTCCTTTTAAATTTAGATGACATATGTTCAGCTATTAGCCTCCTGCTAAGCGCTAACCACTTTTGACCTTCATACATATGTGAAGTCACTGCAGTGTCTGAATCTCTTCTTGTCATATTCTTATGTTCAAGCTCTCTTGACCTTTGCAGATTCCCAGTGATGAGACCAAAAAATTAGACAACAAAGCCACTTTTGTGAAGGCTGCCATGAAACGTTAATCATTAGGAAATAAAAAGCTCTTCTTCAAGCAGACTCTACAAATCTGAGTTAGCATGAATTCCATCAGATGAAAGTAATGAATGTTCATCCATTTATGGGAATTTGAGTTTTCAGTAATTTTGCCAGATGATGATGGCACAACACTGACATTTAACAGGAAAAAAAAAACTGTGTTTGGCATTTATTAGAAATATAGCTATTATAGTCTCCATACACAGTAAACAATTAAGGTGCATTCCGTTATAATTTGGTGCTAATTGAAAAAGTTTTACACATTAAGAAACAAATTGATCTATTGTGAAGAGTCATCTGAATGGTGTACACTTACATGAGATTTACTCATAATAGTTTTTTATAAGAAGGGTTTTAATTATGTATTGTTTCCTTGTTTCACCATGTTGAAATGACGTGACCCATTGTGTTTCACTAAGCGTCAGAGAAAATCTTCATGCCTCTTGTGAAAAAAGAAGTGTGCTTAAAGGTCCACTAAATTGCCTTGAAACCAAAGGGACTTTGTTTGTAACATGCAGCGTTATTCTATGTGGTGACGTAATTTCAACTGAAACAGGAAGACAGGGCGGGACATATCAAGCATCTCTGCCCCCTTTTTAAAATCGCCAATAGCATTTCATTTATATCAGCTTGGGTCCGAGCCGTTGAGCTTGGTAAAGCCGCATTTGACAGCTTATGACAGCCACAGTCTAATAAATTACCTCCTTATATTCAATGTGAAACTGTTACTAAAGCAAAACAATGACTGTAATCATGCTGAGAATGTGTAGTTTGAAAAGTGTGTAATATAATGGTGAATGGCACTGGTATTATCTATTCTACTCAACAGTGCTGTTTCTAATACCAAGTCTGTCTAACAGTTTCTCCTCCTAATCTCACCCATTTTGCTATAAAATATAGCATTCTGTGTAGAATTCAAATGGGTTCAATACGTTTTGTGCCGACTTACGCATATGATCCGCTCTGTGCTATTTTGTCTCTGGACCGGAGCAGACTGTGTGCGCGCTGCAGTGGTTTGCAGGACACAATGCGAAACCAGACTTCACTAGCCCCAATCAAAATCATAATTACACTAGGGCTGCTCGATTATGGCAAAAATCATAATCACGATTATTTTGGTCAATATTGTAATCACGAATATTTAACACGATTATGAGTGGGCCACATGACCAAAACTTTATATGAGTGATTTATTTAAAGATAGCAATATATATCAAATATTTTCTTTAAATAAGGTTGCTATGACATCTACAGTTTAGAGATCAGCGAAATTGCACAATTCTCAATACCACAGGAGAATAATATGATAACTCATATTAGTAAAAAACAAAACAAAAAAGTCCTCACATTTTTTTTTAAATAATTAGACTGTCAGTGCAATAAAAAAAGACAAATGAAACAAACAGTGCTTTAAGTTTTTTTAGCAAGTCTAAAGTATTAATTTAACAGCCTACTACAGAAATTGAATAATTTTATGTAATAATAAAACAGCATAGTCTTCACTGTAAGAATAATTAAACTTTCTTTGTTTCTTATTAACGCTAAAAAAAAAGTCCTTCAGTCAAGACCAGTGAGTGATTTTCTCTCTGTCTTTTGTTGTTTGATTAATATTAAGCACAGTCGACAGCAGGAATAGTCTGTTGTCACTTTAGCCGCATGGATCCAATTTATTGTTACACACATATTTTCATTCTCAACTGTTTACATTCACTTAAGACATAACCAACCAATGTTATGCCACCTTTGACACTTTTTTGCCTGTATTTGACCATTTAGGCACGCACCTTAAGCTAAAAGATTAATTTATACATGTCCGTGTTCTGTTCCGTGTCGGAGCGCATGCACAGAAACCTCCTGAGGAACAGTGCAAGACAAGTTATCTTTCGCGCTTTTAAAAATCAACTTTAATAAATCAAGCACATCCCATTTTGCAAAAGCCACGTTACATGATTTTACTGAAATTGGGCTTTTATGGAGGAGCAAAAGCGCACTGCTAGAAAGGGGGCGGAATAGGGCGCAATAATCATATTTTCTCAATTATTGTATTTTCATAGTCGTTGGAGGCCGAAATCGAAACTGTATTTCGATTAATTTCACAGCTCTAATTTACACTCTCTGAATCGTTTCCTGTCCCCTATAGTGCACAACGTGCCATTCACCATACTGAAAATACTAATTCTATGAACATGTGAAAAAGGGCATAACACAGGGCATAAACACTGGTATGGCATATGCCGTTTCCTGTCCCCTATAGTGCACAACGTGCCATTCACCATACTGAAAATACTAATTCTATGAACATGTGAAAAAGGGCATAAACACTGGTATGGCATATGTAAGATGGAAAGATTTCATGACAGAGAAAATGCCCAAGTTGCTTCTTTTTTTACAGGACATGTAAGGAAATTAATTATTGTGTTGAGCGCGCTCTCTGATATTCACTAGTATCAGTGTCATTTACATAAACCTCAGAGACACTCATGCTGATCTGGAATTTAGTGCAAATGATTGAACAAATCTGAATCTTTTGATGAAAGGAAAGTAATCAAAAGTTGTTTCCTTTCGCATCACTGCACAAACTTACGAGGTCAATGACAAGAACCTTTTTAGAGAAAGCCTGTGGTGGCCCCGGTTCTCCCTGTGTGCTCGTTGAGCTGCGTTTAAGATTACTGTGCCTCTAGCGTGGAGTGGCAGATTACGAGTACAGCAATCTGAGCGTGTCAGCACTCAAAGGCCGCTGAGCCGGGATAAAGCAGGGGTGCAGATCTGCTTGGACTCCGACGCTCTCCCCATTGTTCCTCGTCTCCATGCCAGTGCACAGCAAGACACTCTAATCTGCTGTAGAGCAAGTGAGGACACAGTGAAAACTGGCCGCCAAGCGATTACAATAATCACTGCATTCCAGCCATCTGTGAGTCGAGAGCTGTGTTCATTTAGCGGATCTATTTGGTTTCAAATGGTGACCACGACAGACTGAATGGAGCTGAACAATGTTTTCAGCTCAATGAAGAAACAAGGGTTGAGTGCAGATGAGGTAAAATATCATTCCATATTGCTGCAAAAATCCTCTGCGTGACCTGACTTGACTGCACTCATATCATGTCTGTGAACAGATGCCTGTAATACCGATTTAAATGAAGAGGATCAAGCTGTTTTCATACATCTGAGTGTCTTATTCTCCCGGGGTGTCTATTACATGTCAGCCGTAATACATCAGAGCTCCTCTGGGATTATGTTGATCACACTGTCACACGCTCTAACAGCACCATTCAAGCCCTTTATGATTTAACCCATTCATTCTT